TACACACCTCCTAGTGCCAGGGTTGCAACCCCATATTCAATACCAGTTCAGTGTCCTTGCTCAGAATAAACTGGGCAGTGGGCCCTTCAGCGAGATTGTCCTGTCTATACCAGAAGGTAAGGGGTCCCCATCCCTACACTACACAGGAAAAGGATGGGGAGGACCTGGGGTGGGGGTGGGGCAGAGATGCCAAGCAGCTTGGAGTCCAGAGAGGGCACAAAAAGGCTGTGGCAGAATGTGTGAGCTCTCGGAGTTGGGGAAGGCCAGGGGAGAGGCAGAACGAAGGATTCCGAGACTGTTATCCCTCATCTGTCTGTCTGTCCCATCCAGGGCTTCCTACCACACCAGCTGCCTCCAGGCTTCCTCCAACAGAGATGCCTCCTCCTCTATCCCCTCCTAGAGGTTTGGTGGCAATGCGGACACCCCGGGGGGTACTTTTGCATTGGGATCCCCCAGAACTCATCCCTAAGAGACTGGATGGCTATGTCCTGGAAGGACGGCAAGGCCCCCAAGACTGGGAGATATTGGACCAAGCTGTGGCAGGCACAGAAATCCAGCTGCTGGTGCCTGGCCTCATCAAGGTGTGTGCAGAGGGAAGGTCCTCCTGGTGACTTGACAGTGTTCTCTTCTTCCCTAATCCTGTCTTCTCATCCTGACTTGGCCATTTTCACCCCCCTGTCCTACCTCATTCTTACCTCCTGACTGCAGTCTTCACAAAAGGGACTGTGGCGGGCAGTGCTGGCCCTGATCCGCTTTATGGCCCTCCACCTCTCATCCCCAGGATGCTCTCTATGAGTTCCGCCTCGCGGCATTCGCTGATGACTATGTCAGTGGTCCCAGCAACATAGCCAACATCTCTACCTCTGGTGAGAACCCAGTGGGAGGGGGAGTTGCTGGAGGTTATATGGGGATACACAGTCCTCTGACCCTCTTTCCTGCCCCTTTGCCCAGGCTTGGAGGTGTATCCCTCCCGAACACAGCTACCAGGTCTCCTGCCCCAGCCTGTATTAGCTGGTGTTGTGGGTGGGGTCTGCTTCTTGGGCGTGGCAGTCCTTGTGAGCATCCTGGCTGCCTGCCTCATGAATCGGCGCAGGGCTGCCCGCCGCCACAGAAAACGTCTGCGCCAGGGTAGGTGCCATCTTTTTCTTCCCCAGGGTGCCCTCACTCCTCCATCCTCATCACTGGGGTCCTGAGTACTACTTGGCCACTTGAAGGGCTGCCCATCTGCCAGATGTTACTTCCTGGGAGCGCAGTTTCCCCCCCCCCCCCTTTTTTTTTTTAACATGGTCCTGGTGCGGCATCCTTCCGATCTGGTACCTGGCTCTTACGTATCCTTTTCCCAGTTGGAAGGGAATGCAGTTGAGGGTTATATCCCTGGAGCTTGGGCAGAACTTAACCTGGATCACCTGCTGTTCTCTTGTTCTTACAGATCCACCTCTGATCTTCTCCCCACATAGGAAGTCAGGCACGCAGTAAGTCCCTTGACTTCTTTGGCTTTCTTCTGCCTCCCTGTCGCTTCCTCTGTTGTACCTTCAGAAGGAATTAGAAAAAAATAGAGGGAAATGAGACTAGAAGGATGCCGGCCCTGGCTTGGGGACTAGTCCCACGTTGTTTATCTCCCTTCTACCCCCACCACCTGGCGCTGCCCTTGCTTGATGGCTGTAGCTTTCCTCTGTTGTGCAACAAACCTTGCAAGGCCAGACCCTGATCTTCTGTCTTTCCCTAGCTCTGCTCCTGGCTCAGGCAGCCCCGACAGCGTGACCAAGTTGAAGCTCCAGGGCTCCCCAGTCCCCAGCCTACGCCAGAGTCTGCTCTGGGGGGAACCTGCCCGACCTCCTAGCCCCCACCCGGATTCTCCAATTGGTTGTGGACCCCTGCCACTGGAGCCCATTTGTCGGGGCCCAGATGGCCGCTTTGTGATGGGACCCACTGTGGCCCCTCCACAAGAAAAGTTATGTCTGGAGCGGGCAGAACCTCAGACCTCAGCCAAACGCCTGGCCCAGTCCTTTGACTGTAGCAGTAGCAGCCCCAGTGGGGTGCCGCAGCCCCTCTGCATTTCAGACATCAGCCCTGTGGGGCCGCCTCCTGCAGCCCCCCTACCAGGTCCAGGACCCCTGCTCCAGTACCTGAGCCTACCCTTCTTCCGAGAGATGAATGTAGATGGGGACTGGCCACCTCTGGAGGAACCTGCACCTGCTCCACCTCCAGATTTCACGGAGCCCTGTGCTCCTTCATCTTTCCTTCCACCGTCTGATTCACCTCCCACAAACCTCAGGGCAGTGCTTCCTAGGACAATAACGGGGGTGGGGGCCTCCTCAGAGCCCCCTTACACAGCTTTGACTGACTGGACACTGAGGGAACGGGTGTTGCCGGGGCTTCTCCCTGCCGCCCCTCGTGGTAGCCTCACTAGCCAGAGCAGTGGGAGAGGAAGTGCTTCCTTCCTGCGGCCCCCCTCCACAGCCCCCTCTGCAGGGGGAAGCTACCTCAGTCCCGCTCCAGGAGACACCAGCAGCTGGGCCAGCGGCCCCGAGAGGTGGCCCCGGAGGGAACATGTGGTGACGGTCAGCAAAAGGTAAAGGCAATAGCTACCCATTTTTGCCCTGGCCCTCCATCCTGCCCTGTCGGTCCAGATCTCTCCCCTGCTCCGCCCCCACCCACCTACGCTCGTCACCTTCCCACGTTCAGCTCCCACTCGGAGACCAGAAGACTCCTCTTGGAAGCTCTGCTGAGATCAAGGAAGCTCAGTCTGATTTAGAGGAGCCTGGGTTCCTATTTTGCAGGCTGCCCTCTGTTCCTCTGCTAATGCTTTCCACCTGTCCCAACAGGAGGAACACGTCTGTGGATGAGAACTATGAATGGGACTCAGAATTCCCCGGGGACATGGAGCTGCTGGAGACTTGGCACCTGGGCTTGCCCGGCTCTAGGTCCCGCCCTGAACTTGAGCCAGAGTTAGGTAGGTGAACTTCCTAGCTGGCTGCACTGTCCCATACTTCTTGTCATGTGTTCTGAGCTGGTTCCGTCTGTTTCCCAGTCTGTTTCTGAGTCCCAGGCTTCCTGCCTTGGAGTGTCTCTTGCTCCCCAGGCTCACTGCGTGCAAAGGGCCTTTGGATCCTCAGGCCTGAGCCCTTCACCCAATTAGTCACCGCAGTGCATCTCGGCTCACATTGTCCTACCTTCCCTTTGAAGGTGTGAAGACTCCAGAGGAGAGCTGCCTCCTGAACACAGGTCATGCTTCTGGCCCTGAGGCCCGCTGTGCTGCCCTTCGGGAGGAATTTCTGGCCTTCCGTCGCCGCAGAGATGCTAGCAGGGCCCGGCTACCGGCCTATCAGCAGTCCATCTCCTACCCTGAACAGGCTACTCTGCTATGAGCACACTTAGTGTGAGGCTAAGAAAGGCGTATGGGTCTGCAAAGGAGGCCAAGACTCTGACTCCAAGCTCGGCCACTGCTCCTACTCCTTTGTGCCCAGGCATAGAGCCCTGATAATGGCCTGAGGGTAGGCTTGCGTGAGCTTGGTGTAGAATGAATGTATTGACTCTTTAGTTGAGTCTGGGGGATGAACTGTGTGCGTGTGTGTGTGTGTGTGTGTGTGTGTGTGTGGTGTTTATAATGTGGGTGGTGCAGGTTCTTTTTTAAAAAAAAAACAGTGAATAAAAGTTTGAAAAACATGTCTCTGGTACCTATCTTTGTGTCTAAGAGAGGCGAGGAAGTCCCTGGACCTGCACAGAAAAGATACTGAATGGGACACATTCAACCACCATTCAAAAAGTAGTTGTTGAGGGCCTAATAGGGTCAGCTAGTGGGGATTTACTGTTAGGCTAGAAGCCATGAGAAAATACAGAAGTCACCGAGATAATGCTTTGTCCTTGGGGAGTTCTTTCTGGTCAGTGAGGCAGACAAACATGCACAGCAGACCAAGTTTTGTGATAAAGCCGTAAGCTGGCTATTACTCTGGCACAAAGAGTCCGGGTTGCGTCATTTTGTAAGTTCTTAGAACGTGTGGGACTTCCTGGGACCCTCATGGAAGGCTGAGAACATTCCCTGTGTGCCAGACACGGTTCTCCGCTCTGAGTGCTGTTTAAGTCACCACAGCATTGAGTTTATTTTGTAGACCGGGCAACTAATGCTTAAGATGCTTTCGTAATTGAGCAAAAGCCACACGGCAGGTGAGGTGCCAGTGAAAAAAGGAAAAACCTTTAGGGGTTTTGGGGGGGAGACACTCTAAAGGCACAGAGGACCTAACGACATTCTGGAGGTATGAGTGGGGACTCTGGGAGATAGAAAATGCAAAGGTCAGCGTGGAACTGTCATTTTTTTTTTTTTTAAATCAGGCTCAACAGAGGACTCCCCTAGAATGTGAAGAAAGAAAACACTGGTGGGTTTTAAGTGGGGACTCCATTAATTGAAGTCTGGAAAAAAAGCAGGTGTTCTGGACACCCCTAAAGTATTGCTTTCCATGCTAAGGGGCAGAAAAATGCCTGCCCTCTTCCTCCACTAGCCCCCCCCCCTTCCGATCCCTCCAAGATTTAAGGAGAAATGTCAGGTTATTAAACAGGAGATGGAAGAGTGGGAGAGAGAAGCTGGGTCTGAACCCCAGGCCCTAAGTCATACCACACCCCCTTGGGCTCTGGGCAAGGAGTGACCTCACTGTTAGTTTTTGCCCAGGCTTGAAGTTAAATGGCAAGCAGAACCACGTGGGGGTGCTGTCCCAGCCTGTAAACCCCAGTCCGGTCACACCCTACTCAGACCTGGGGGAAGGCTCTTCAAGTACCTCCATTTACCTTGCCAGTTTTTAAGCCTGCAATCGCGAGCTAACCTAGGCAGAAAGTTTTCTACTGGATTGCAAGTCTAAGGTTGTTGAGTGGAGATTGAGTTCTCATGGGTGGAGACCTAGGCAGGGGCGCTAAGGGCTCAGCAGGCCCTTTAACCCTCTTTCCTGCCTACAGACCACCTATCTTAAGCACTCCAGCATTCCTCTAGGCTGCGCCTTTAAACCTTCTCGGCCCTTGCCCCGCCCCTGGTCCGCCCCGTCCGAGGCGGGACCCTCCAGAAAACTCCAAGCCCGGTCGGGTCTTCAGCTCCACTCGCCGCTGCAGCCCCTGACGTGCGCGTGCTCTCATCCAGCCCGCTTGGACGGTGAGCAGGACTGAGGGACCAAGGAATCGGGGTGGGATGGGGGTGGGAGTATGTGTGTGGTCTGTAGAAAGCAAGAAGCCAACACTTGATTGTTGCTCCAGGGAGCGTGGGGGTTGTAGACTGGCGGTCGCTAGGGTCTGAACCGGGCGCCCCGCCCCGTGCTGTCAGGTCCGGTTCCCAAGCTTTGACTCTGCATTGTTGGGCAATTAAGTAAGGCGAGCTTTGCGGGTGCTTAGACGGGGCGTCCGTCCCGACTCAAGGGTCGGGTCCCAAGCCCCAGCAGTCTACTCCAGCGTCGAGTTCTTGGGGAAGAAGGAAGGAGGGAGTCCGACGTTCGCAGGCTGGCGTTGAGTGGTGGCAAGAATAGGGTTCTGGAGCGCGCCCTGGTGCGTCTCCGCAGTCCCTGAATTTACCGTGCGACCCTTTCACTTCCTGGTGCAGGAGCACGTGTGGGCACTGCCTGCCTTCTGTGTCCTCGAGACTGCCCTTTTGCGCCCTTTCCTGCTAGTTTGCTTTTCTGGGTACTCGGGTTCACCACCTGGAGTCACGGGTCTCGGTGCCTTACTTGCACAGTGGCCTGGTCTTCTGTGAGACCCCATCCCTTTCCTGGAGAGCCTTTGACCTCTGACATCTCGGGGCTGCAGCCCTGACTGCACTCGGATGTGTCCTGTCTGGAGGGGTTGACTGCTGTCCAAGCTCTCCTACCCTAGCCTAAGCCCCGCTGCCCCCTCCCGTGCCCCCTGCTGCTGGGAAAGCTGGTGGTGACCGCGGGCGGGCGGGCGGGCGGACTGCCCAGACCTGCGTCACCCCAGTGGCGGGAGGGTGGTGGGTGACTCATCCGCAGTAACGGCCCAGGGTGTGGCCGTGGGGGTGGGGGCGGCGGCTGAAGGGGTTGGACCTGCAGACCGGAAGTAGGTTGCCTCCTCGCTGGGCTCCGCAGGCCTCCCCGTGTTCGTACGGGAGAGGTTCTGGAATACTTGGTATCTGGAGCAGAAGCAGCGGTGATGGAAAGTGGAGGCGCGGTGGAGGAGACCTGAGGCTGGACGGGCTCCCCTTGTTCTCTTAATTGGGAGCAGTAGTCAGGGACAGCGCCTCATCTTTAAGCTCCTCCCAGTTTCTCCTTCCTGCAGTTCAGGGTACACCTCAGACTTCGGGACAAGGTTGGGAGGGGTGAGCAGGGTGCTGTTGTTCCAGAGCCAGCAAAATAATCTTTGTCCTTGCCATCCCCTTGCGCACCCATAACTTTACTGTCTATGCCAACCCCCAGGGGATTGGCGCCTAGCCTGTCTTCATTCACTCCATGGCCTTGCCCTTCGAGATTGCCAGGTGTGGGCTTTCTAGCTCAGAAACGTCTTTCCTACCCAGGATGTGTCCTCTAGACTTCTTTGATTCTTGCTTCTCTACCCACAAACTGCATATGCCCTCCCGGTCCTCCAAAGCTGCCTCTAGCTGTACCCTGAGAATGGTTAGGATCCCTCATACTCCTTTACCCAGAGCCTCCACCCAAGTCTGTGTGGAGTGGGTGTTCCTGCCTGGGGGGCCCCCACCCTGCCTCCATTCTTCTGTTTGGTACACAGAAGTCATGGCAACGGCCTCCACCCCCTCCTCTCCTGAGCAGGCCTTGTGGCTTCCTGTTTGTGGAGCTTTCTCTTCTGCTCAGGATTCTAGGTTGTGAGGGGGCTGCCCCCTGGCAGGGGGAGGCTCTTCCCCCTGCAAGGCATCCCCTTAACCACAGTGCTCCCCAATGGCCTTCTGTCTACTCCTTGGGCATTTCTGTTTCAGAAAAGTCCCAACAGTCCCAGCTGGGAAGTTCCCTATGCTCCATCTGCACCATAAGAGGACAGTCCCCTTGTTTTCCCAATAAACACTCAGTCAGGAATCCCAAAGTCCGACCCTTCCCAACTTGGTGTTCCCCTTGACTTCAGCATTGACGCTGACTGGGGCAAGGTAAGCTGCCAGCCGTGGTTGGGGTGGAGCCCACGGCTAGGAGGCCTTTTGTGGCCCCTCCTCCTTTCCTAGCTCTTACAACCTGTAGGCCTGAGTGAGGGTTGTTCCCAGGGCTTGGCTCTGGAGTTCGCTGCTGCCAGCCCACCATGAAGGCTGTCCAGCTGTTGCCTCCACTTGAGATACCTGGTTCTGGCCATCTCGCACACCTGTGTTCCAGCTGGACAGATGTCTTTAGCCCACACCGGAGGGAGACTTGCTATTTTCTCTTTCTCTGAGGGAGGGCTGGGTTAGGTCTCCTGGGTGTAACTAGGGTGGGTCTTTCCAGCTGCAGCAGCCACAACCCGTCAGCTGTCTGCCTGAGGGGGTAGGGAGAGACACAGCTGCTGGCCAGGCAGGGCTGGCTGGATAGCTTCGTCTGAGAACTCCGCCCCATGGTTCTGCCACTTTGGGGTTCTGGGGTCATGGCCTCAGAGTGGAAGAGAGATACTGCAGCTGGACACCAATGACCTTGCCAGCTGTGTCCAGGCCCCAGAGCCAGGCCGGGGGGGGGGGGCCCTCAGTAGTCCTCTGTCTGGAGACAGATCAGGGGCAGCAGGGGACACTGGAAGAGTCTGTCTTTGGACTCCTTCTTAACCCCGGTATCTGGGTTAATCATTCTCTTGTCCTTTCTTTACGTATGCCCGGGCTTCAGGCCCATGAGCTCCCTGGAAACAGCCCGAAGTGGCAGGGGTGAGGCTATTTTCAGAAGAGAAGTCTAGAAATTGGCCAGGGAAAGGGGTCTTGCTTCTGATGAGAGCTTTTAGCCATCTCCTTTCCCTATCCTGTCTTCTAGTTACACCTAGACCCTATAGACTGGGAGCAGCGTGGCTGCGGGTGGACAGGGTTGGCGAGGATGCTGGCCCATCTTTTCTGCCAGGCTCCAGCCACTCCACACTTCTACTTGCCTTCATCATGCTGATTGTGTGTGTGGGCTGTGGCGTGGTGTGGGTCGGGACCCGGCCTGACATTTATCTGGTCTGGCTGGGGGAAGTCTCCTAATGAAGTTTAAAAATAGCTGATTTATGGGGCGGATCCTGCCGGAAATGTGTGGCTGGATAACCCAGGGTAGGAAGGGGCAGCCATGTTGAAGGGTGGGGAAGGGGCGCTGACCCAGCACACAACCTCTGCCCAGACGCATGACATTATTGGAGACAGCCTGGCTTCTTGTATTTTGGCGGAGCACCAGCGCCCGTTGTGGGGGTGGTAGGAGTGTTTAACCTGGGGTGCATGAGAGAGGGAGCCAGAATGACTTCATCCCTTAAGTCTGACCTGGCCTGGAGCCAGATGTGGGCTCCCTGCCTCTCATTGAATGGAGTCTCTTGTCCTGGGAATACCAGTTTTTGAGCTGTCAGAGACAGCCAGCTGTATTTCTGACCAGAGAGGAGGACCCCTAAGCAGGGGCCGGCAGTCACAAGTGAGGGACAGTGTCCCTCCTCTGTTCCTGGTTGCTTCACACATCAGCAGCATCTCCAGTGCTTGCTCCCAGGTTCCTGGGTGTGGGACCTGTCAGAAAAGTGGTGGGTGGGGACGGCTGCCCACAGTGAAATGCTGCCAACTCAGACCTGTGGTCAGAAGCTACCAGTAATTCCTAACCAAGGTCCTCAAGGAAAGTTAAACTCAGCTGTGCACTCTGCCACCCCGCTGCTCTTTCTCTCCCCAGGTTTCCCTGAAAATAAGGCCCAAGGCTCTAGGTTAATTTCCCCATTTCTGCTGTAACAGACTATGAACTTAGTGATACATGGGCTACTCTAATGGGTCTAGAAACCCAGTGAGTGAGTGTGTGTGTGAGTGTGTGTGTGTGTGTGTATGTGTGTGTGGTGTGTGGTGGTGTGTGGTGGTGGGGTCTCACTGGCGGAGGTCCAGGTGCTGGCGGGGTCTACATTCACTGGGGCTGAGGAGCTAGGGCAGAATCCATTTCCTTTTCTTTTCTGGGCTTCTAGGGGCATTGCCTGATTCATGACTCTGCCTGGTACACGTACTCATCCTTCCCCCTCCCATTCTGTCTTCTGCCTCCCCCTATTCCACCTTCCCTCCTCCCATTCTGCTTTCCCCCCTCCCATTCTGCCTTCCCCCTCTCATTCTGCCCTCTCCTCTCACTGAGAATGAGAACTCTTGTAAGAACATTGGGCCCGCCTGGCTGACACTTGGTAATCATTCTGTCTGCAAATGCGCCCCTCCTCCTTTTTTAAACTCCTGTAAGGTGATCTTTCCCCCAGTTCTGGGAATTAGTGTATGGACACCTTCGATGGTGAGAGGAAGGGAGGAGGAAGGGGGTTAGTCTGTCTACCATGAGGTCTAGAAGGGAAGAGAAAGCATTTGGGTTTTTACTGCGAGGTTTCACAGAGGAAATTCCCTTTGCAATCTAAAACGCGGGCCCCCCTTTCCCAGCAAGCCCACCCAGACTGCTCCTGTCGCCCTGGGTCTGTTAATTCCTGTAACATGATCTGAACTCTGCACCTTAGCGGTCATTGTGTACACTGTTTACATGATCACCTTCACTCCTTGTGTCCCCTCGATGACACTAGGGAGCGTCCAGGGCTGAAGACTTTGTCCTCTGCTGTCATCCCTACTACAGATGCTCAGTTAGAAACCTAGTGGTTAGTGCAAGGTAATGCCACTCACTCCCGCTCTTAGCTAGGTTTCCCATATGCTCTATATTCTCCGTTCCTGAAACATTTTCTAAGGCTCTGAAGAGCAGGGTTGCGGGCTCCACTGACTGATTTGCTTTTGTCAGGACTCATTACTCCCCATAAAGAGCTGAACCGGAAGCATTTACCCCATCTTTTATTCCCGTAGGTCCTAGGCTTCATCCTAGACGTAAACCATTCATTCAAATGAAGTTTAGTATCTGTCTAGCCTCACACCAGCCAGAGTTCAGAGCCTTGCTGTGTAGCTCCTGGGCAGGAATTCCTTCTCTGGCCCTCACGGGCACCCTGAGTGTTGTCGGATTGACCGTGGGCCTGGTTATATCCTCCCCACAGCTCTTCACGGTCACCACAGCTGTCAGAATGGCCAACCGGGGACCTTCCTATGGCCTGAGCCGAGAGGTGCAGCAGAAGATTGAGAAGCAGTACGATGCGGACCTGGAGCAGATCCTGATCCAGTGGATTACCACTCAGTGCCGCAAGGATGTGGGCCGGCCCCAGCCTGGGCGTGAGAACTTCCAGAACTGGCTCAAGGATGGCACGGTGAGAGCTAGCTGGGAGGTGCAAGGAGGGCAGGGCTGGTGCTGGGGCATCGGGGGCTCTTTAACCCAAATAAGAGAAGAAAGAGAACAAATAGACCCAAGTGTGTCACCAGCCTGAATATCTTTCCAGAGACTGTTAGAGCCCAGTGCTTTCTGACCTCTCCATGGGGTAAAGGTCAAGGTGGATGTGCCCTTTGTAACAGCAGCTCATAGGTGCTGGTAAGATGGCTCTTTGAGCTGGGCAGTGGTGGAGCATGCCTCTAATTCCAGCACTCGGGGTAGAAACAGAGGGATCTCTGTGAGCTCGAGGCCAGCCTAGTCTACAGAGCCAGTTCTAGGACAGGCTCCAAAGCTACAGAAAAACCCTGTTTAAAAAAAAAAAAAAAGAAAAGAAAAAGAAAAAAAGTAAAATAAAAGGCCAGGCAGTGGTGGTGCTCGCCTTTAATCCCAGCAATCGGGAGGCAGAAACAGGTGAATCTCTGTGAGTTTGAGGCCAGCCTGGTCTACAAGAGCTAGTTCCAGGACAGGCTCCAAAAGCTACAGAGAAACCCTGTCTCAAAAAAACCAAAAAAAAAAAAAGTAAAATAAATAAAGCAGAATGCTAGAATGCTGGCTATTTGAAAGAGGGTGAGAAAGTATGAGAAGGTAAGCTCTGGCCAGTGATTCTGGAGTACCCACACATTGGCTCTTCATCTGGGTTCAGAAAGGCAGAAAGGACCTTGAGGTTCATCCTGGGAGAGCACCTCCCTGGTTCACTGTCTTTGGTGCTCTGGTCTTCAGTAGGCATGTCCTCACCTCTTCCAGGTGCTGTGTGAGCTCATTAACTCACTATACCCTGAGGGGCAGGCCCCAGTAAAGAAGATCCAGGCCTCCACCATGGCCTTCAAGCAGATGGAGCAGATCTCTCAGTTCCTGCAGGCCGCTGAGCGCTATGGCATTAACACCACTGACATCTTCCAAACCGTGGATCTCTGGGAAGGTGAGCCGGGGTCCAGGGCTGTTACCCAGGAGACTCGGGGTTGGGCTGTGCTGTGTTTACCACAAAAGAACGATAGGTGTTGGGTTTCCTGAGGATGAGTGTGTGCCTGCGTGATGGAAGATGGGCCCTACTGCAGGGTAGGGTGGGAACAATGAATTAAGGAGTTTGGATGCCAAGCTTGGACCTAGTTGGCTGGTAGAAGGCATCTAGTACCCTACTTCCACTCAGGCGGCATACTTGTTTTCCAGGAAAGAACATGGCTTGTGTGCAGCGGACACTAATGAACCTGGGTGGGCTGGCAGTAGCCAGGGATGATGGACTCTTCTCCGGGGATCCCAACTGGTTTCCTAAGTAAGTATCTGTGGGATTGCCATAGGGCCCTGCTGGTACAGCATTCTCGCCCATTCCTGGCTGTAGAAAAGAAATGATGTCGCTGTAGAACCAGCCATTACAAAACGCCTTTAAAACTCCAGAAGGTGGGAGGTGGTGGCGGCAGCAATGACTTTTCTTGTGGAGAGACAAAGAGGTGCTTCTAAGCAGCCCAGAGGTCAAAGGCAGAGTGGATATCGGCTTACATGTCCAGGGAAGAATTCACTGTGGTAGCTAGCCTCTGACAGCCTCCTAACTAGTACCCCCCTTCAACCCAGGAAATCCAAGGAGAACCCCCGGAACTTCTCGGACAACCAGTTGCAAGAGGGCAAGAATGTGATTGGACTACAGATGGGCACCAATCGTGGAGCATCTCAGGCAGGCATGACCGGCTATGGGATGCCACGCCAGATCCTCTGATCGCACAAACCCCCTGCCCCTGCCCTCCATGAATGGTTAATATATATGTATATATATGTTTTAGCAGTGACATTCCCTGAGAGCCCCTGGATCTCTAAGCTCCCCTCTGCCAGAGTGGGGTCCAACTTATCTTGTCACTTCCGGCAGTGCCCAATGATTGCCTCTCTCTCTGGGCTTACTAATACATTCCTTCCCCACAGCTATCAAAACTGGACCACCCTTCCCCTGGGACCAAAGCCTCCTTCCCCCCAGGACCAAAGCCTCCTTCCCCCAGCCTTCTTCTCTTTTCCTGACCTCTGTGTTTCCAGTCCATTCCTTGGCTAGGAGTCAGAGATGCTGCCCTGTGGCCTTATGCCACGCTGACCTTCCTTCTGTGTGTATGCCTCTCCTCCAGCTGTGGCTGCAGGGATTTAATTTATAGGGAGGGACCTGTGGCTGTCACTCCAACCACAGCTGGGCTGTACTTAGCACACTTGTGGGCAGCTTTCCTCCCCAACAAGAGGCCCTTTTGGCTTCTTATTTTCCATTCCTCTCACTGTGGCTAAGGGGTGGAGCAGCGGAGACAGAGGTGGAAGAGCTGCCCACCATGGTCTGGGGCTTGAGGAACATGAGTTTGCTAATTTTCAATAAAGAATCTCATTCTTTTTTGGATGGAGTCAGGCTGTATCTAGGGCCACTGCGCCTACTTCAGGGGCGGGATTCATACCAGGCAAGGAGGGAGGGCAGAGGCACAAGGTTGCTGGGCTGAGCCCTGTCTTCATTGTTGTCTGCATCCTCTGTCTATCACCTGGTTTAGGAGAGGACAGGCTGGGATTAAGAAGGGACAGGCCCTCACTTGGGGTAGTAGCCTTAATGTAGATTACATTGGCTGTGTTTGCTGGATGGGAGAACATTTTTCCTCAGGGAACTGGGCGAGTGGTCTGCTGCTCCTGGCTGTGTCTGGACAAGGACAGGCCTAACCAAATAGGAGGCCCATGAGGCAGACAGGGGGCAAGATGGCCCATGTTGGAGTAAGCTGTTCCAGCATGGGGGCTGAAGGTGGGGGCCACAGTGGCTGGGTGGAACCCAAAGCTGGGAAATGAGCAAGAACGAGTTAGCAGACTGTGGAGATGCCTTGTCCATCGATCCCCAGCACCTGTGAGCTGCGTTCCAGGGAGAGCCTCGCGGTAGCTTCCTCTAGACTTTGGCCTTGGACAAGATAGTCAACTTGTGGTCACTCTGTCCCCAGCCCAACCCAGGAATGAATGCTTGCGACCTATAGGCCTCCCATTATCTCAAGGCTTCCTATGTTGGCTTCACGTCTTCCCACAGAGAACCTGAAGGACTCCGGGTCAGCTAATGCCTGACCTTTGCCCACCCTTGCTAGCCAGTCTCATGACTGTGATGTCCCATGTTCCTCTCTTCCTTTCTGCTTTGGGTACTGCCCATCTCTTTCAGAGAAGAAGGCCACGACACTATACCTGAGGCTCACATAATGCAGCAGGTTGTAACCAAGAAGCTTTTGTCTTGCAGTCTGATCCTGGAAACACCTACTGTGTGCCAGACGCCATGCCGTAGTTTATAGCCCTTGGCCCCGTGGCTCTCAGCCTTATCCTGACACCTCGCTATGGAGGAGATAGCGTTTTCTTGCTTGCTGCACTGCCAGGGACCGTGGCACAGATAAGATAGACTGCAGCCTCTGTATAAATCTCCAGGGGTTGGCTGTCACTCTTTATCTCTCCTTCAGAAAGGCTCTGTGGACTGCCACTGTGAGAGGTGATGTCACCACAGAGAAAACACAGAATCCACTGATTTTTTTTTTTAACATCCTTCCCTGATTTAACTATTTAGAGCTACAGACTGTTGTCGACCCACTGCAGTTTTCTGGGAGGGGTATGCCTCAGCACTAATGTGCCTGCTCCCAGAAGATCCTTATAGAAGTCTAGGAGGTGGATATTACCTTGTTATTGCTCCCATTCTATTCCCTTAGGTGTGATAAAGGGCAGGAAACGTAGCCAAGGTTCCATGAAGGAGCAGATATTTGAGCCCTAGGGGAACTTGGCTGAAGGTTGAGTTCAGCTCAACCACAAGTGGGAATGTGGAGGGACTGGGGAGTGAATGTAAGGTGGGGTAATGAGGTGCTGTTGCCGTAAACTAGAGGGGATGGGTTCTCCTAAGGCTCCTGTGAAGGCTGTGTAAGCCCAGAATAGAAAGGACTTGCATGATAAATACTTATAAAGACTCAAGAAATGGAAGTGAGGGGATAAAGAGTGGACTTGGTGTGCACAGTGGGCTGGGAGATTGCTGAAGCCCGTTGGTGCCTCAGCCCGGCACCGCTGTTCTGCTGAGTATGATCCACGAAGTGTCATCTGGTCCTATCTGACTCTCTAGAGTGACATTCCCAAGGCAGACAGCAGTGGGGTCTAAGAGACGCTCATTTTCCTTCTTCCTGTGGTCTCCAGCTATTGGCCTGCAGGCAAGTCTGTGGGGCATTTCCTTGATTAATGATTGATAGGGGAGGGCCCAGTCCACAGTGTTCTGGGCCTGATAATAGGAAGCAGACTGAACGAGGCATGAAGAGCAAGCCAGTAAACTGTTCCCTTATGGCTTCTGCTTCAGTTCCTGCCTCCAGGTCCCTGCCTTGATTTTCTTGATTTCCCCCCAGTGGACTGTGACTTAGGACGTGTAAAACAAATAAATCCTTTTCTTGCCAAGTTGCGTTTGTTCCTGATGTCTTCCTTACACCAACAGAGAGCAAGCTAAGCCAAAACCCTTTTGGGGCTCTAGCATCTTAAGATCTTGTATCATTTTCTGTTTTCTTTTTAGCTTTTGGTCCCTGCTGAGGTCAGTTTCACTCCTGACTTGGCTCTTCTAATTTTTCCTGGCACCCTTTCAAGCCCTGGAGCTCAGAATGGGTCCCAACCCTGACGCCAGGAGAAACAGCCCCTTTGTACAATGTCCCCTAGGTTGCTGGTCATCTCCTAGGACCCGTTCTTTGTGGCTTTCTGTGTGTATTTTGTAACTGATACTGCAGGAAGAGTCCAGCTACCTAAAACAATCTCCTTGGAGGTCTCTCCATGGTTTGCTCTTTTTATCTCCTCAGAGCTTTGTTCAAATATCACCATTTCTGACCACCCTCCTTAAAACCGCACACCTCCTCAGCCTGCATCCTCCTCCCTTCCTGCTGCCATTTATGACTGTCGGAGAGCCAATATGTTTTACTTACTCATTTTCAGCCTCCGCCCATAGGATCTACACTGCACAGAGGCAGGGTTTTATTGGTTTTTTGTTCGTGTAGATCGGTGCTACAGGTGCTGGATAAATATTTGTTGGGTGAATAAACGAACGACCTGTCACACCAGCTGCTTGCTCTCAAATCCCCTTGCCTAGTAAGACAGAGCCCAGCCAGCCCTGGGGGCACAGTAGCTCAACCACTCGGATCTGAGCTGGGACCAAGCTCCTTTGTCGGGCCCCACGCTTCCCTCGAACTAATTTTCCACAAAGCAAAACCCCAAAGCTTCACTCACTGCTGACAGAGACACTGCGAAGTGGACGGAGGGTAGGGTGTGTGTGTGTGTGTGTGTGTGTGTGTGCGCGCGCGCGCGCGCGTGCACTCGGAAGGCAAACTGATGGGTTTGAGGTGGAGGGGATGGGGCGTGGGAGGAGCACCGAAAAAAGAGGGCCGAGTCAACTTTCCGTCATTTGCTTTGCCCTCATCCATGAAGCAGAAAGTCACTCTGGAGGTGTAGAGGAAGTAGGCGTGGCCCTTGGTGGCCAATAGAAGGAAGAATTAGAGAAGGGGGCGGGGGATTTCAGAAGCTCCACCCAGTTTGGCTTGCTTGTGAGAACAAGCCAAGATTTGCGCTGTTCTGTGTGAGTGTGTACCCAGGTGTGTGTGTGAGGACTGACTCAGGGGCCCCAGGTGGGAGAGAGGAATCTGTGTGAGGAGACTGTGAGGAACTTGTGTTGAGTGTTTGCCCAGGAGGATAACGGGTGGGTAGAGGTGTCAGTCCTGTGTGCATAGGCAGCTTTGTGTTTGTCCACCAAGGAGAACAATGGGCGCCATTCCTGCTCCTGTTGCTTTCTGAGAACTTGGCAAAGGGCCCAGGGAGCAGTAGAACGGGGAGTGGACTGGGTAATAGGACCCTAGGGAAGGGAACAATAAAGGGCCTGGGATTAAATTTGTTGAAGAAAGGCTAAAACAACGAATTAGTAACTGTCTCTGCGAAGAAGTAGGTTTTAGTCCCAGTGGCCAGGGAAGAGGATTACAGAAAAATGCCCTAAAGTTGCATCTAGAGAAATTTAGGTTAGACAAGGAAAAATGATACTCTTGCCTCTAAAGGTTATTAGCCTCTGGAATCTCTCAAGGGTCAGAAGGAATGTCTTCAATAAATAGGACAAATCTCATTTCCTAATGGAGGAAAATGGGCAGTTCTGCCTGGGAATGCTCAAATACGCCCCCCCCCCCTTTTCATGCGTGTGTTTTTCAACACTTACTGAGGCTCTATTGCAGGCCATACAGGATAAATTATTGATACACGTGGTCCTGAAGGGAAATAACATATGGATGTGAGCCGTGCTGATTCTTGAAGCCAGTGACACATACCTTTGAGGACCGCATGCCGGACTCCATGGGAGGACTCTCTTGTCAACTCAATACCCTAGAGAATTTCTGAATGCCTTGGGGACCAGAGGTCACCGATATCAGGAATTATCTGCCTGCCTCCCATCTACTCAAGGAAACATGGGAGCCTATTAGGGAGACTTTTGAAATAATGAGCAGTCACTGGCTTTGTGGTCAGAGGTCCAGTGTCTGTGGGTGGAGAGGGCTTAGTCTTCTTTGGAAAGGGCCAGTCAAAGAGGTATGAGGGTGAGATCAGCAGGGGCAGACAGGCCAACATCACTCGAACCTGAAGTGGGCGTGGCGAGGTGATAGAAATGTTCCCCCAGACACGGGGCTGTCATTTTGCTTCACTCTACTTTTTGGTAGAATCTGACTTTTTAGTTCGTTTTCTATCAGGCAAGTTGGTTTTCTAGTGACGGAAGCCTGATGATGGGGATGGCGATATATTCACTATCGTTTTTGCTACACACTATGCAAGGAACTCAATGGTTTGGATTTATTCCTTCACTGTTTCAAAGAGCAATCCTTGAACTTTTTTTCAAGGTTGCGGCACCTGTCGACTCCTGGTAGTGGGAGCCCTGCAATTAACAAGACAAGCAATCTCTGCTCGCCTGAAAGCGGTAAGAAAAGTAAGAAGCCAATTATAAAACATGTCTTGTGGCATTGTAAGAGGGTCTAGGCTAGGTCTTAGAGGGATCTTCAGGATGGGTGCCTTGACCCATCATCACCAGCATTGTCACCAGCATTGTCATGTACCTACCACACCCTGGGCCATATTTCCCTACTAGAAAACCAGTTAAAAAATTGGATCCTACTGTACACCTTATTGTTCTTTTTTAAAAATAATATGATGATGGGATGTCCCGGATGGCTTGCGGAGCAGCTTCTAGTCTCCAGGGTGGCAGCGCTATGCGGCCGGGGGAGTCAGGTGGGCAGTTACGGCGGATAAAAGGCTCACAGGACATAGTATTATTTAAAGAAGAGGGAGATATTTATTGCTTAAAGAGAGTTTTTAAAGAAAACAGAGAGACATAGGAAAAACGTAGAGAGAA